CTAGTCTATTTTCTAAAATATACTATGCATCTGTATTAAATAAGTTGTGTATTTTGTTGTTCTCTCGTCAGTCTGCATGAACGTCTTCTGAAGATGGAAAAACAGTTCAAAATTCAAACTCGTTGGTCTCCGTCAGATCCACAATACAGGTCCAGTTTGGTGACTTGTGAGGCTGTAAGAGCAAAACAGACCCTGGATCTAATTCTGGTTTCCGGTAGAAGAAGATGGTTTCTTCTTTCCCTAAAAAAGAAATACACAGGTATAAAAAGATCGAACTACGCGCTCTTGACGTGTACTTTTCTTTGTAAAACTTAAAAATGTTAATTGACTTTGTTTACCCATGTAGCAAGAAAGCTCGTTTTTAAGTTTACGTGCATGAGATTGAATTTGAATATGGAGGGTTAGTGTCAGCTGAGGGTCAGGAAAAACTGGCGACCCCTTAGAGCAAAGACGACAACCAAGAACGGACTCAACCCACATATCAATTAATAACTTAACTTTTTTATATAACTGTTTCTGTTATAGATGGCCAAGCCCAGGCGAAACGTTTGTGTAAGGGCGTCACCAAAGAGAATACCAATCTGCGCAAGCAGTTAAAAGTATTTAACTCTTCTGTAGACATCCTCCGGCAACATGATTACTCTTCATTTTCCCCTCTTTCATGGGAAGATGTTAGTGACGTCAGCAGTGCCATCTACTCCATCAACATCCCAAACGAAGACGGTGTTCCTGTGTGCATTAAAAGGTCAGCAGTTGATGCGCAGAACTTGATTTCGCGATGTTGGGAGGAGATGAAATATCAAGACGCTGAAATGTCTAACACTATCACTGCATATTTCAACCAATGTCTTGAAATTGAAGGTCGACTCTCTTCGTTGGCAAGTCACCATGAATTTAAAGATTCTAACAATCTCAAAGGTCTTTATTCCATCCATACAAAGCAACTGTACGATGAGCGTGTGCGACTTTTTGGTGCTTGTAATATGTTTAAAAAGTTTATCACACCTTCTCCAGAAGTTAGTAATTACATGGTTGACAATGTCCAGGAAGTCAATGTACTCGATTTCTGGAATGCAGGCGAAGAGTTTGAAAGTGATGAAGATGATGACAATGATAGTGATGTTGAAGTGTGACTATTTATATTAAGTATTCGGACAAGGATTACTGACTATTTGTAATAAGTACCGTAGTTTTGACAAGTCTGTATATGATCTAAGGCTAGACAACATTCTCATTTCTGGAGCATTAAACAAATGTTCCTATGTACTGTTTTTGTCTTGGTTCACTGATAACATTTACAGAATTCGACTTGAAATCGTGGGAAATATGATGCTTGAGAAAGTAATACCTAACAACGCAGTGCAACTATAATTTAGTACCAACGTAAAATCATCGACAAATTGCGTACTCTATGATTGGTCACAAGTTGTAGCGCGCACAATTTCTTTAACATTATATAAAAGAAATAAAAACTTGTCCTCCTGTATTGTTGTGTTGTATAAGTACTTGGGAATTTTTAAGAACACTCCATGCATTTTTATCATGTTCCCAAGCTGACTTAATTCCTGCTTGCTTAGCTTAACAATGCACTCGTATGGGGATATAATGTCTTTCTTTGAAGTCCAATGTGCAGCAAAAATGACTGTAATCAATCGTGTGACAAATATTAACAACGTTTTTCGGATAACGAGTCAAAGAGTGAGAATTTTTTAGCTAATATTTGTGAATAAGACACTGCAAGCAGCGTTAGGCCCTGTTTATATGAAGGAGAGTTGTCCCTGGTAGGAGGGTTACCCTCCATACCAAACCATCTTTACAGAGCGTTTATATGAAAAGAGTTGTTCTTACTGACCGAGTCAAAGTCGATCTTGCATAATTACTTAGAGCTCGTTTAAATATTCAAATCCTCATTTCTCCTTCCTTTAAGTTCCTTTCGTTTACTCCGCTACTGTTACCTTTGCTGAGTTAAATTTTATGTTAACAATATAAATTTGCCCTTGAAAACCTATATTCTAGCAATTATGTTAAACTCGGCACGCGAGAAGTTGTCTCGGGAAGGCGAGACAAAGAGTTTAAAGGAAAAAAGAGTTGGCTCGCCCCCAGGGTTACGCTTCCTTCAACGCGAGTGACCCTCCACCCAGGGTCACCCTGCCCCCCGAGACAACTTCGCGTTTTCTCATGTCAACGGTTCGCTGCTATTTATAAAGAAATGCATTAAAAGTTCTGTCGCCTGGAATGGCCTTACTTACTTACTTTCCTTACTTAAAGACTGCAATTTTACCCTCAATTGGCCATTTCAAAAACGAGCAGAGGACTGGGCACGAGCATATTTTCTCTTCGGTACAAACATTCAATATCGATTGAATTGAAAAATGGGGCACGTCATCTGAAAGACCATCCAAAAATTAGTAAATTCACCAAATTTGACGGTTATTGGTTTACACCCAAAGGCATGGTACACTTAGTATGGATTGGAGGGACAGGCGTCCTCCAATCCATACTAAGCCCTCTTATTTTAAAAGTGTACCATGCCTTTGTGTTTAAACCAATAACCATCAAATTTGGTAAATTTACTAATTTTTGGATGCTCTTCCCGATGACATGCCTCGTTTTCAATCAAATCGATACTGAAGATTGGTACCAAGAAAATATATGTTCGTACCCGCTCGTCTTTGAAATGGCCAATTTCTCGAACTTCTCGATTTCTCAAACCAAGTTTCCTCAAGGGACTGAAAAACGGGGTGAATTTTGTAAATTTAACATAATAGGCGCTATATCCTATACCCGGCATATCAGCTCTTCACCCCGATTTTACTGTATTTCAAAGGGAAACTAAAAAATGGGGTGAATTTTGTAAATTTAACATATTAAGCGCTTTGTCCTATACCCGGCATATCAACTCTTCACCCCGATTTTACTGTATTTGAAAGGGAAACTAAGAAATGGGGTGAATTTTGTAAATTTAACATATTAAGCGCTTTGTCCTATACCCGGCATATCAACTCTTCACCCCGATTTTACCGTATTTCAAAGAGAAACTAAAAAATGGGGTGAATTTTGTGAATTTAACATACTAAGCGCTATATCCTATACCCGGAATATCAACTCTTCACCCCGCTTTTACTGTATTTCAAAGGAGAAACTAAAAAATGGGGTGAATTTTGTGAATTTAACATACTAAGCGCTATGTCCTATACCCGGAATATCAACTCTTCACCCCGATTTTACTGTATTTCAAAGAGAAACTAAAAAATGGGGTGAATTTTGTGAATTTAACATACTAAGCGCTATGTCCTATACCCGGAATATCAACTCTTCACCCCGATTTTACTGTATTTCAAAGAGAAACTAAAAAATGGGGTGAATTTTGTGAATTTAACATACTAAGCGCTATGTCCTATACCCGGAATATCAACTCTTCAACCCGATTTTACTGTATTTCAAAGAGAAACTAAAAAATGGGGTGAATTTTGTGAATTTAACATACTAAGCGCTATGTTCTATACCTGGCTAACAAACTATTCACCTTGATTTTACTGTATTTCAAAAAGAAACGAAAAAATGGGGTGAATTTTGTGAATTAAACATACTAAGCGCTATGTCCTATACCCGGCATATCAGCTCTTCACCCCGATTTTACTGTATTTCAGAAAGAAACTAAAAAATGGGGTGAATTTTGTAAATTTAACATACTAAGCGCTATATCCTATACCCGGCATATCAACTCTTCACCCCGATTTTACTGTATTTCAAAAAGAAACCAAAAAATGGGGTGAATTTTGTAAATTTAACATACTAAGCGCTATGTCCTATACCCGGCATATCAACTCTTCACCCCGATTTTACTGTATTTCAAAAAGAAACTAAAAAATGGGATGAATTTTGTAAATTTAACATACTAAGCGCTTTGTCCTATACCCGGCATATCAGCTCTTCACCCCGATTTTACTGTATTTCAAAGGGAAACTAAAAAATGGGGTGAATTTTGTAAATTTAACATACTAAGCGCCATATCCTATACCCGGCATATCAACTCTTCACCCCGATTTTACTGTATTTCAAAGGGAAACTAAAAAATGGGGTGAATTTTGTAAATTTAACATACTAAGCGCTATGTACTATACCCGGCATACCAACTCTTCACCCCGATTTTACTGTATTTCAAAAAGAAACTAAAAAATGGGGTGAATTTTGTAAATTTAACATACTAAGCGCTATGTTCTATACCTGGCTAACCAACTATTCACCTCGATTTTACTGTATTTCAAAAAGAAACTAAAAAATGGGGTGGATTTTGTGAATTTAACATACTAAGCGCTATGTTCTATACCTGGCTAACCAACTATTCACCCCGATTTTCCTGTATTTTAAAAAGAAACTAAAAAATGGGGTGAATTTTGTGAATTTAACACACTAAGCGCTATATCGTATACCCGGCATATCAACTCTTCGCCCCGATTTTACTCTATTTCAAAAAGAGGCTGAAAAATGGGGTAGACACAAAAACAGACTGAAAAATGGGGTGAATTTAGTGAATTCAAGGGCTTTCCAGCACTGTCTGCAATTTTCAAGGACTTTTAAGGCCGTGAATTTTTATTTTGACATTCAAGGATTTTCAAGGACTTTCAAGGTGAGTGCGAACCCTGTCACTATTGTATAGAGACGCATGGGGGCGTGGTGGACAAATTGTCACGGTATGCGCTGGACCAAAAAATATACCTTATGCCGGGTTAGTATGCACTGGGCCCAAAAAATAGCTCTTGTAAGGGCACTGCGTTATGTTCTTGGGCAAGACACTTAACCTTTACTATGCCTCTCTTCAGTCGGGTGATGATACATGGGAACCGGTGTATTAACTGCTGGGGGAGGGGGAGGGGGTGACCCTGAAATGGACTAGCATCCAGGGGAGAGTCGAAAACACTGGTCGTACTGTTAAGTATCTTCTGAAGACGTAGCATTGGAACATACATTGTCTTATGTACATCATACGCTAAAACGCATCAATAAGTTCATTTTAATATATCTCGGCTATCCTATTTATTGATATGTACAGTGATTTATTAGAGTGTGTAGTAGCAAGTGACAGTGGAGGATCCTTCGTTCCTATCCTAATCATGATTTTGTATTTAAAATAGAATATAAGTCAGCAAGATGTAACAGATTAGTATCGACTAAGAGAACACAGAATCATGAGAAAAGGAAACGATAAACAGACTTATGAATTACAACTTTGGTTATCTCATTCCATGCAAACTGCATTTTTTCTTTACAATAGGGAATTTACGCAACCACAACAGCGTTGGCAACGAGAACATCGCTTAAGAGAAGGGGAGGAAGAACACTGCAGGGCAAAGACCTGCACATGTGTTTTGCAATCTGCTAAACTGTACAAAGAAACAACACGAATAACCTCAAATAAAGCTTTATGTCTTTGTCAGCACCATTCTATGAATGTAAATAGTTTCAAGAGTCTCAATGAAATTTCCAGAAGGAAAGGTTAGCCTCCCACATTGCATTTTCGTTGTCGTCCTCTGTGTGGTTGCTTAACTTTACAGTGAACCGTTACATACACCTTATTGGATGGTTTAACATATAATACGCGCGGGTATTTTGCGAGTTGCGTAGCAAAACGAGCTAAATGTCCGGACGTATTACATGTTAAACCATCCAATAAGGGATTTATTATTTCATTATTGCGCCATTTTCTAGCATTTTGGCACCTAGTTTTTGAAATACAACCTCCATCGCCTGAGAATCTTATCGATCTTATGAAGCGTGCGCGAATGACGAAAACAACACAAACAAAAAGAATTAAATGTCCTCGCAAGTTTCCTTCTGTTGAGTTAAAAAAATGCGTTCCCGTCGAAAGGTCGTCGCTTAAAAGTCAAGCGTAAAGGACGTAAACAAGTCAATTTTGCTCCCTTTTGTCCAACCATTTTGTTGCTCTACGCTTTCCGTCCGTATTTGCTCTGTTCTAAAACAGTCAAACCGGGGCATTACAGGCTCATGATTTGCGCGTTCTCATGTCCAAATATGGTAAAATGGCGCAATAGTGGAATCATAATGTTTTCACTTTCTACTTCGTAGCTGTCTATCCCTGGACATTATTGTCCCGGGAGAGACAAACTTGTCGAGATGAAGGGCATCCTTTAAACCCTGCGTCTCCGAAAGGTTTTGTTTCGGCCGGGCAGTTTGCAGAGCTTCTCGTCGCGGTTGGATGTAAGCAGTCGGCCAGGCGACAAAACTCCCTTCTTCTACTTCCCCAGAATGGGTGGGATATTCTTGCCATGGCTCCACTTTTCCCTTTGACAAGATATCCTGTATCATCACTGCGGCCCATCCGGTTTTCAGTGCCCGGCCGTGTACCATGGCTTGAGCAGTTACAACACCCCGACAAACGAGTTTGTTGGAGTTGTCAAACAGCTCAACTTCATTACCTAAACCAGACAAAGAAGTATAAATTGAATTGACTGAATTGCTCAAATAAAATGCTAAGTATAGTGACTAAAAGACAGCAGTTTCCTATTGGTGTCACTATGATTGTCCAGTCAGATTAAAAGCCGGAAAAATCAAGTTCAAAAATATAAATATATAATTAAAAACAAACACACAGGAACACACGAGCAGTGATAAGTACGGCGTTTTTTAAAATCAAATCGTTATTGTGTTGTAGTTCTGTCTATCACCGATGAACTATATTTTGTGTGTGAGTGTGTGTGTGTGTGGGTGTGTGAGAGTTTTAGCCATACACATGAATAAAACACACCTTCACTGGCACCAGTGGAAGTGTCAGGCTGCGTCTGAGGTGCTGAGAACTAAAAATGCACCACAACATAACATTTAATCTCTATATTGAAAACTACTTTAATTAATCTGAATTTAGTTCTTTGAAAATGGCAGCAGAGGTTTTCAAAGTTTTACCTTGGGACAAGCAGGACAAACTGGACGCCTGAGTGGGCAAACCTCATTTTCAGTAAAACACTGGAGAGCCTTTACATGATACCTGTTGTAAAGAGACATACCTTTAATGTGCACAGTGTTTACACTAATAAGCATTTTAAACTAATAAAAGCATCTATCGAGTTCAAATTACCAAACCATATGGTATTTTTTGAACCAGCATTAATGACAATAGATAATTATTTGTTGCACTATCGTGGCCTAAGAATTAAATCAGATATTTGAGTAATTTCTTCTTTCACTTGTAGTCTTATATTTTCTGGAAAATACTTTTAATTATATGTAAAACTCAATCAAAAGGGATATTGGTTGTTTTTATTCCTTTTCACAAAACAAAGTAACAAGAATTATCTTTGTATTAAATAATAATTTTTTAACATAACCACTTAAATAAAAACTCTGCAAATCAGTTTGAGTCTGGAAGTTTAGAACTTGCAGAAGGAATTGGATTCTAAAAAAAAAAAATTGAAGAACACCGGGTGTCACCAAATGCACTGAATACAGGAGCTCACCTCAAGAGACTTTGCATGGTTTTACAACCTAAACTGTGTTGATCACAAGGTATTTCTAACTTTTAACTTGACCAAATTTCTATGGTCTTCATTACCATCTACCGAGGTATCAGTTGATGCTTTGTGTCAAATTTATAACACTTCATTCAGTTCTCTTTGTTTTAAACTGGTTATCTGCATATATCACCATAAATTACCATACATAGAAACAAAGGATAATAAAATTTAAACTAAGGATAAAGTTGATCCAAAACATTTAACTACAATCTAAGTTACTCATTAAAACACTTCTAAAGGTCTTATACACATAAAACTGGGATGTTGCAAGATAACTGTTTGCTGGAAGTTCTAAATTCACAAACATTAATTGTTAAGCCACCTGAATTCCTCAAAGCTGTCAATAAATTGGTCATATATCTTCCTTTTCTGCAATTAAAACAATAAATAACAAATATAACAATTTGCTACATCTGTTCTATTGTAAATCTATCACGAATGCTATTCTCTGATTGGCTGCCCTACCCACTATCTATTCTGTGATAGATAGTGAGTAGTAATCAGTTTGAGTCTGGAAGTTTAGAACTTGCAGAAGGAACTGGATTCTATTCTGCAGTATACAGTACTGTACACTCACCATTATCATAACATTGTGTAGTTTGCAATATTTCATTTGGTGGTATTTTTTGTCTTCCAAATATTTGTTAGCTGGGAAAGTTCTCATAAGCGGACATCTAGGCTACACCTCTGGTGGTGGCCGCTTATGAGAACAGTTCTTGTAAGGTGGCCAGCTCCAGTTACAGACACTTTTAACGTGTCCCGAGGGTGTACATGTATGAGAGCTTCAACTGTATTTTCATTTGTTTAGTTTCAGTATCTATGAAGGAGATCATGATAAAGTTTTGGCTAGGTCATGAAGATTTATACTAAAGCAATAATATATTATGATCTCATGATTTCTATATTATTTGTGTGATGGTTTATTTGGTTTTGCCCTCAATAATTCAGGGTCGGCCAGCGGGGGATAGTGGTATACCAGTATACCCGAAAAAGATCCGCCAAAATACCCCAAAACACCCAAGATTTCTCCCAATATACCTAAAATTAATCAAAGCGTTATATAGTCTACTATATACCCGAAATTAGTAGTATACCCATCTTTCAGCTGAAATATACCGTATACCCGAATTAAAAAAGCCCCTTAATACCATATACCCAAAAACCCTGGCCGACCCTGATAACTATCACACGATGGAGTCGTTTACAGCTAAACCTATAACGAACCTTTATGAGAGGGTGGGAGTAGAAGTCTAAGGCCTTCACAAGATCAAAAATGGAAACTTGGCATTCCATCACAAGTGCCAGGGTAAATTCCATCAGACTTGTGGTGAATGCCAAGGTTGGTTCCACTGGCGTAGCAGGCCACAAACCTTGAAACAGAAAACTCTCTGCCACACTAAAACAAGTGCAACAGAGAATCTTCAATAGATGCTGACCACCTTCAGAAAAAAATATTCAACAAGGAAGAACATTGCTGACTTTATACCGATATTTTAATAACCTTAGAATTAAGCTCACCAAAACAATATAAATGTTTACAATATATTAAATAACTGCAAAAA